CGTGTTTCAAAACCTATAGGAAAGTCTATAGGTTTCCTATAAGAAATAACTATTGGTTTCCAATAGGAAATTTCCGGAAGGGTTCTTTTGTCGGGGGATTATGTTGAAAAATAGCTCAGTCATTTCATTTGCAATGCAATACAGACCAAGCATTAACACTTTTCTGGTTTTCATTTGACTGTCCCTCGTAGCTAGTTTCACTTGAGCACAAAAAGTGGAGTTGCCTATAGAAGGTGCACTCACAAGAGAATCCCGGAGCACAGTAGAAACTAGATTCGCACTAGTCGGCTGTGTCGAGCTGAAAGAGACTGAGCGTTCAGGCCCGACCGCGATCGATAAGCCCGTTATCAGCACATGCCCAAGCACGTGAGTGAGTATGGAAGACTAAAGCTGCCATAATCGTGTCATCTAGAATAGCTGAAACGCTCAGGCCCGACCGCGATGTGCGCGCAATGTAAATGCATTCAGATGGCAGAGTTTAATCAATTTGAGGAAAAACATGTACTCTTTCAACTACTTTTTATCTTCTTTTATGTACCGCTCATCATTAGTTTACCGAGAAAGAAAAGCATCCCCCTCTGAATCATCTCGTCTAGACTTCGTTATTTCTTTCATTGTTCTGAACTCGTCAGATGTGGGAACAATATAATGAGAGGTTCGCATGCCCTTATTCGGGCGGTTACCAAGAAGGCGTGTCTTCCCGATGTCTCTTTACCGTGGTGACGGACTCCATACTCTCGTCTTGGCCGCACACTTCAGCCGCGAAGTCATAACATCAATTTTCAGCTTATAACTGAGCCTTATTAATTATGGAAAGAAGACTTGAAGAACAGAGTTGGCAGAGTGGCCAACTCTGCAGTGTACGACAGTCAACCCCATCTCTTTATCTGACAGTTAAAGGAGGGTAGATGTTGATGGTAGACTAGAGATTTCCATTTAACTAAACTATGTTTAAATCCCCTTAATTTGACATTGATCCACGGGGAGTTCCATAATATGTTTAAATCGCCGCGGAAAGCATATGATTCAAGGAAAGAAAAGATTGACATAAATAGGATTCGGGATCGCAGGATATAAGAATAAAATATTCACCGACGGTAATAAATAGAAATCACGCTCAAAGAATGGGATGCAAACGCTCTCATATACTGTACTTCTGTCAACCTCGACCCCCCCCCCCCCTCAAGTTCGATATAACCTTTTTCAAACAGAATTAGGGCTTTTATAATAAGGCTAGAAAAATTCCGGTGGGAGCCTGACTTCGAACGACTTCCACGTTCCACTGACCAGGAGAATAAGAGATTCTCCTTAACTATGGCACTCTTTCCGATCTCCCATAAGACGCTTCAAATTTCGTTCGAGGGTCATCATATATGCACAATGACTGCAACTACGGCTACCCCGCTCGAGCGCAAACACCCCATATTTTATGTCATATTTGAAACATGCCAGTCGGTGATTGGGTGTTTCCATGTCGAATCAATACAGCCAGATAAAAGAACGACTTTTGGTCGAGCGGTCATCATTCAAACGTCCGCAAGTTTTGCTCGAATTGAAAGTGGTTTCATTTTCAAACTCTTCCTGAAATGATATGAATTGCACAGAGCGTAAAAAAAAACGAAGATCCTTGACCCTGACCTTGCAATCCCAAAATAATTCTTTTTTTTAAAAATTGAAATGAAGTCAAGTCAAGCAAGCGATGCATTGTACGTCAAAGTTTCGCATGTCATATTCTACCGGTTACCAGGTAACCTGTTGTCCCGGTTCCTCTTCACCCTGGTGACGAACCCCATGCTCTCGGCTTCGCCGCTCAACATTCTTCTGAAGCATGTTGATGATACCATGACATTTTCGGGATTCGGATCGATCAAGTGATCTGCTCCTCCAGTGAGGGGAGTCTCATTCTAAATGTTTTCAAATACTGAAAAACCAAGATGTGACTTGAGAGCCCCCACACGACTTGGCCTCTCGACCCTTCATTGCTCATGAAAAGATAATAGCAAGGTCTATCAACTGTCAAATATCCTGAAGTCTAAATCGACCCCATTCCATCATCGCATTTCCATATTTATTCAGTTAATAATTATAGGAAATTTAATTTGGGATGAATCTTCGTGATAGCCTTTGATGTCTGAACCCTGTCGAGAACGCTGATCGACTCACGTCCGACTATTTCGAGCCAGGTGGATTTTCCCTCGGGTGGACATCGCCTCAAGAGGTGGAAATACCGCCTAGGGGGACATCCGCCTTGTTCATAATCCACATGGGAGGTGGACGTTTTGTAAGGACATGTTATGGCGGTCGGAAACCCTGTCATGTCGCGTGGAGAGCACTATACAAGTAACTTAGATTCGAAAGGAAATTCAGTTTATCGCTGTTTTATTGCGTAATCTATGACTGGAGGCAGAGGTCACCCTTCTCATGTGATTACCATGTCCCCATACCGAGTCGCATGCGTGGAAGAAAACAGGCTTAAAATCATGATGATTCTCATGAAAGTAAGGAACACACGGACAACTGTGTAATACGACCAAGACGGGGACTTTATGGTCGCACACTTTTTGACAGCGCCTGTGCAATTCCTGGAAACGGAGCTAACCCTTACGGAAATTTCCCATAGGAAACCTATAGTTATTTCTTATAGGAAACCCATAGACTTTCCTATAGGTTTTTGAAAACACGAAAAACCTATTGGATCCCTATAAGGTCTTTAAGAAGCAGGAAGGTAGGTGATCGCTTCTCTTTGAGGAAAGGAGGACCACTAAAAATTAGAAGGCGATTCCTTTGGTAATGCAGACGGCACAAAATTACTTCCCTTCCCTATATATGACCTCTTTGGTAGATCAATTATGCGACTTCGATGCATATATTGGCTGTGTTCAATGAAATATCAATTAAAACTGAGAAAAAGTCTACACGTAAGTCGTAAGATACTTCCACAGATCTCGACCACGCATGTTTAATTTCATTTGACAGCAAACATGGTGGAAGCCTCGGTAGCGCAGTAGGTAGCGCGTGAGTCTCATAATCTCAAGGTCGTGAGTTCGATCCTCACCCGGGGCATACATTTTTTTTGCTTTTTGCCTTGGCGCATTTGGGAGACCACGAGCTAATTTTACTTAATTCAAACTTAAAAATCCCTTCGAGGGCAAAATCCGCATCGAACAGGGGAGACTCGCGCGAACGCACCTCGGCGATCCCCATGCGCAATGAAAAACTGCATCGAAGCAAAACGCCTCTGGCGCGGTTGGCCCTTCCTTTCCGAGCTCTTGCGATGAATGCCAAACTGATTTCATTTCTCCCATCAGGGTCGTCAGTGCAAAGTCACCGGTGTCAATCGTGCGACTCCAATCGCACAATCTTCCGAAAGCCGATCCCCCACAGAAGCCAGAAAGCTGCTAGAAAGCAACTGCGTTGCATGTGTAATTTTTGAGGAAAAAAAAAACAAACAAAGCTATTTGATTATTTTTTCATCTGTGTTCTCTCTTCGTATTTTCCATTTTGATGACTTTTTTGCGTTAGCCATGCCTCGATACAGTGGAGCCTTTTTTGCAAGATTTTTTCATCAGTGAACCAGATATGTCGCTGGATTGTGCAGAATAGCGCGTCCACTTCCTTCGATAGAGGGAAGAATCATTCTTCTCTAGTCCTAAGGAATTGGCAGATAGAACCTGCGAACACCATCTCTTATACTCCATTCAAATGGAACCCGATTTCTCTCGTACGTGATTTTCAAAGGGAATATGAGCATATTTCTGGCCTGGACTCCATGATTCGGTCTGGAAGATTGGGATGACAAATAAGGAAGTGTCCAAGTTTATTGATTTCTACAATGAGGCAAGGCGAGACATTTGGGGATGTACAAAACTCTCCTGTGAGAGATGATTCTATGGGTAAAGGGAGGGCACTTTTGTGTACTGTGAGAAACGCGAGAACCCTATACCGCCATCTAGTGGCCTAGAGGAGAACTTCAAACGGAAACATATAGGTCCCAAACGGAATCCTATGGGTCCTAAAGGGTTCCCTATAAGCCCTATATGGAACCTATAGGATTCCTATATATTCCTAAAGGAATATATAGGAATCCTTATTAGGCATTTTCGCAAGGGGAAAGTCGAGATGATGAGTTTCAAGGAACCAATTCAGTCCTAATTTCCATCGGAATACAACTTGAGCGAGAAAATCCCAAGGCCATCTTTCACTTTAATGGTCATGAAGGACATCGGCCTCATAATCTTTAGTTTTTTTTTTTTGTTGCTGAATTTCCCTCACCTTCTGGCAAAAGCGATGGCTCCTCCAACCGGATCGAAACTGTCTCCTCCGTTTGAGGAGATTTCGTTCCGGACAGGTCCGAGTTCTCCGAGTCGGTTTGGTCTCAGATGTTCCCATCCCAATTCGTCCAACAATTGACAGACCAACGGCGGCGCTAGGGAGAAAAAAAAAAAGAGGAAATGAATCCAGACCATCTGCGCGGTGAGTTCGATTTTCGGGGGATAATGCAGGAATAAATTATGATTTTGCAAAACTTGCTCGGTGTAAGGCACTGTTCCACCAGTTCCAATTTATCCTCCTGTCAGCCTCGCGAGTGGGCATTATTGAGGATGAAAACATAATTGCACCTTTTCTTGCCGTCACTGAGTACATAGATTAGGGGAAATTTTAATTGGCGGTAGACGGGAAACGGGAATTTCTGAATGCCTTGGATTTCCACAGGCTAGGGAGCATTTACCAGCCGAGCCAATCCAAAACAGGTAGGTTGTGCTCGTTGCTGTCGGGCGGGTGCCTCGGCGCGCTTGGCAGCAGGCAATGGAGCGCGCATGCGCTGTCAAAAGCCACATTTAAACAAAACGAAATATCTTGGATGGGGCAAGCCCTTCCTTTCCCAGCTTATGTGATGGTCAACTACTTTCTCGGTCTTAATAGCATTCGTAGGATTAGATCGGTTTCTTTCGAATGAATAGGCTTTCGTAGCGCCTATTACCTTCCTTCAACCCCTTCCCGTAACAAAATACAAAACTCCTCGTATTCTTCTGTGCAAACCAATATTCAATCGCTTTCCCTTTCTTAGACCTCCCCGCCTCTCTACGAGACTCGCTAACGTTAGGCCTAACAGACTGCCTTCAGGTCACGCCAAAGCTTACCTTTTCTTTTCAAAAGAAACTCAATTCTCGACTCACGGCGCCAATTAGGCCTACAAGGGTGAATTGTGGTCTTTCAGACATCTGGTTAAGGACGTGTAACGTTAGACCGGTTGGAGGCCTGTTTCGCGTTTCATGAATCATTTCAGTGGGAACGTAACGTTAGGCCTATCTGGAGTTTCTCGAACCATCTCGAATGTATTGGTCTGAGGAGAGAATGCCCTCAAGAAGTATGGAATCCACGGTGCTCTGTTTTCGGATTGAATTGTTACCCCCCTACTGTGGAGAAAGGAGAAAACATAAGCTTTCCAGACGATCCTCTAGATCAGTGTTTCCCAAACGGTGTGCCAGTAAGGCTTAAGTGTGCCGTGAAATTTGAGAGTTGACAAAATAAAACTAAAAAACTATAACTAAAAAAACTTAAAAGCAAGAGGGAACGGCATCTCTACGTGGGAAACGAGCTGCGAGTTGCTCTACCACGCCTCGTATCAAACTGCTGTGTTCAGCGAAGCAAACACAAGTTTCCCATCGAAAGGAAGTAAACGGATGGGTGTGCCATGGAAAGTTCAAGTGTTCTTATGTGTGCCGCAAATAAAAAAAGATTGGGAATCACTGCTCTAGATGTCAAGCCTGATGCTCCACATGGTTGTTGGATGGTTCTATTAATATCTCACCTTCCACCCATAAGGGTACTCGATCCTGTACTTGACGGAGGCGCTCACACGGAGGGGTACCATTTCAATCCGAAAAGGGTGTTCGCGCCATCCTGTTAGTTTAGGGGTGTCCGGATAAGATATCTGCATATCCCACCACATCGATCAATGACTGCTAACCACAGCTTCATTCTCAACTCATCTCATGAACTCGGCACAAAAATACATCATACATTTAAAAAAAAAACAGAACATCCAGACGCCAATACGAAGGTTGAAACAGTCTTGAATCTGGCATAATTTCGGCACGTTATCCGACAACACTGGGGGACCGGAGCAATCNGAAGGTTGAAACAGTCTTGAATCTGGCATAATTTCGGCACGTTATCCGACAACACTGGGGGACCGGAGCAATCACTAACCCCGAATTAACAAGTTGGCGGGCACCACGGATGCCATGCTTCCTGGAGGCATTCCCTCCTCAGACCTATTCCAGATGGTTCGGGGAACCTAACGTTATAGGATATAGGCCTAACGTTCCGCATCCGCGCTGAAATGGTTCATGAACCGCGAAACAGGCCTCCAATCGGTCTGACGTTACACGCCCTCAACGAGATGTCTCGAGGACCAGGGATTCACCCTCATAGGGCTAATTGGCCACGTAAGTCGAGATTGAGTTCCTTTTGCAAGATTGGATGAGTCATAGCTCACCCATTCCAATAGTTTCTTTCAGGCTTAGAGAATAGGCGATTCCTAAAAAAATGCAGACAACCGGCGCGACATGAAACGACTTTTCTTCCTTAAATATATTGGTAGTTCAAACACGCTACTTCGATGCATATCTTGGCTGCATTCGATGCAGATCTCAATTTAAAGTGAGAAAGAATCTACGCGGTTGTAAGAGAGTTCCACAGTCTCGGCCAGTCATGTTTGTTTTCACCTTTCGTGGAGGCCGTGGAAGCCTCGGTAGCGCAGTAGGTAGCGCGTGAGTCTCATAATCTCAAGGTCGTGAGTTCGATCCTCACCCGGGGCAAGCTTTTTTTCCGACAATGTAGTTCGTGGCAGTGGAGCTAAATTGAGAACCGCGCCGGGGTGTTATTATTTTTTATTTTTATATTTTTTTTCCTGCGCGATTGATAAGAGGGATCATTTGCACTCTCATCTCCAGGAATGAACTCGTTTCCGGGAAATCGCACAAGGAATTCATCTACCGCGAAATAAAAACAGTTTACCCTTGGCACTCTTGATATTTTTCGCAATGTGACACACGGTGGTACGTTGCCGAGTGTCCCATATCATCCCCGTCTCATTCAGAGACCAATTACAATTTTTTACTTGCGCAGATAAATGATCAGAAGTAAATTCGTCATCATGGCCCTGCCTAAACCTTCTGCATCCTTTTTATTGGGGAGGTCTTCATCCCAAATCTTCGACGAAATTCTGTGCAAATTTGCATTTCTGTGCAAATGGGCATTCCAAAATCTCTCATTCGTGACAACTTTTGCGATAATGCAGATGTTTAATTGCGATGAGGATTCTTTCCTCGTGAGGAAATCCTGAGAACTCTGGCGTTTTGCAGAATAGTATGAATTGAATTGAATTTTTCCTCCTCGATATTCTCGATAACGATGAGATTCAGATGGAAAAACGTTTCCTTTTCTACCAGCTGGACTCGCTGTTCTTTTTTTTTTTCTCCACACTTTACACTTTTCGCACGCAGCGAATTCGCCCCAAAAATTCGTGGAGATTTCGAGATAATTCCCACGTCACTTCTCATCTCACTAATGTTTTACTTCTTCCCTCGGGATTTCAGTTTCACTCTCTTCTGATGAAACTTTTCCGAAGAGTTTTCGTTCTCTAAACCAGTCTCATCATCGACTTCACTCGCATTCCTTTTCCTCTTCAAGATCCTAGCACTCATTTTTAAATAAATAAATACAAGTTCCACGACAGCGTACTCCGTCAAATGTTGCGAATGGTATAAGCATGGTTTAAGCATGCAAATGTGCCAAGTTTCCTTTTAATCACATGCTTCACACTGGTATGTTCACATTCACACTAGCGATATTTGTCGACCTTCTTAGCTTGTTGAAATTATTACCGTTGAACCTATTGGTATATTGAGCCATCTCGATGCATGTGCTAGCCATATTCAGAAAAGTAATTAGTTCAAATCATTAAGGACTGTTATGCGTTGAAATAGGAAAATTCCGCCGGGTTCTACAATTTCCTTTCAAAGCAGAGTGAAAAACGCAGGCCTCGGTAGCGCAGTAGGTAGCGCGTGAGTCTCATAATCTCAAGGTCGTGAGTTCGATCCTCACCCGGGGCATCCTTTTTTTTTTTTTGCTCGTTAGTCATTCGGTCGGATGCGACGTTGGCATTGACGAAAGGGAGCAAAGTTCGGAACGAACGAGCGAAGTCAGGCCATTTTATCGTCGCGATGGAAATAGGGGTCTCGGGCACTTCCATCTCCAGGTTTATTCACTAATTCTTGCGAAACGGCGACTTCGTCCATTGTTGAGCGACGTTACTGGAGCTCATGGTCGTTTCCTCCTTCATCCTTCATGCTTCCTGCTTCGTGCTTTATGCTTCCTGCTCAATGGTCCTTCCGGAATTTTTGTCGCGTGATTCGTGCATGAAGCCGAATCTTGTGAGAAATGAATGACACGTTTCGGTTCCGTTCAATTTTGAGATGAGACTGGAACTGGAGACTTCCACGGGGTATTTCGGCGTAGTTCAACGCCGAAAAAAAAAAGAAGCCCTTTCTTAGTGGGCCTTCTTAGTGGCCTTTTTTTAGTGGGCCTTTCCTCAGAGGAAAGAGACCACAAGTGGTCTGCCTGGGTCTCCACACTTTGGTTGTCCGACGATAAATGATTAAATTTTGGCATGATCGCTGTGAAAATTGACAAGCAGGTAGATATGGATAAGATACTGGCTCAGTTTGTTTTGAGGCGAGTTTTGAACGAAATTCGCCATTTTATGCATACCATTGGCGAGCATGCCGTTAAAGTTTAGACTTTTGAATCTATCCCTGGAATAGGAAGTTCCTACGTCCCCTATTTCCAATGAGGCCAAAGATAAAGGCCCGACTTCGCTCGTTCTCTCCAGTTGCTCCCCTGTTCGTGAGTGCCATCGTCGCATCCGACCGAATCGCTTATGAGCCAGAAAAAAAAGCATGCCCCGGGTGAGGATCGAACTCACGACCTTGAGATTATGAGACTCACGCGCTACCTACTGCGCTACCGAGGCTACCTACATCATAATTCAACTCTTCTTTACTATTCTCCATAGTCAGATCGATTGTAAATTACTTGTAGAATTATCAACCAATCGTAATTTCATGGTGCCTCATAGAAATTTCTTGTTCCATCAGTCCTTGCAAGTCACCAATTTCTGGAGAAAAAAAAAACAACAAAAAAAAAGAAAAATTGTGGACGAGAATAGGAAACATGAGTTTCATAATGCATAACGACTTATCGTTATGCGTTATGAGAAAAAATTGCTATTTTCACCTCGAATCATTTCCCGATTTATTTAGAGTTTCCTTCGTTTCTAAAAGTCATTTTCTTCTGTTCATGCGACGGCAATAATATAAGCATTTCTGGTTTGTCTCTGTTCGTACAGTTTCTCCTCTTCTCCCGTATTTTTGCTTCGCGTCTCGGGCGAAGCAGGTCGGTGTTTACAATTCCGATCGTCGCACCAGATTCGGACTGCGTCCTGGACGCGGGAGAGGCACAAAACCTGTTTCGTCAGAATGGGGGGAAACGACATCGAGAATTCCTTTTAAAAAAAAATTATCTAAAAAAAATACTCTCACCGTCCCTCGGCGCCACCGAAGGACGAATCGCACCGGAGAATCGGCCGGTTGTTTCGACTGAAGCCTTACCTCGCCCTGAGAAGAAGGAACAGAATGAAAGAAAAAACTTGTCCTGTCCTTTTTTAAAACATTTAAAGAATCTCTCAATGTGTGTAATCCAGAGTTTCAGTTATGAGTGCTTAATGAACTAGTTTTTTTAAAATGCATTTTACTTGTTTATTTATCTTATCATAAAAATCACGTTACATAATTTGTGAACGGCCCCAAAAGCGTGAAGTCGCATGAGAATTTCTCGGCCCATCGGACTAACTTCACATTTCTCCGTTCCTCAATAGTTTCGTTCCACTTTATCTAAAGGTATGTTATGGGTCAATTTCTTTTCACAATTTATGTATTAAAAATATCATATTTGTGCCTCCTTTACCTTCGATACCGCGTAGAAAAAATCTGGACTTTGACAAATTCTTTTTGAGTTTCCGGCGTTTATTTCCTCTTCTTTCGTGAGCAATCTGTCCTGACGGCTCACCCGGTGTGACGCACACAATAAATAATAAATAACTATATAAAAATGAATAACATTACACGGAATAAGAAAGGAGAGACGACGTCTGCTGCGCACGATGGAAAGAGTTTCGTTTATTCGAGAGGCAAAAGGCGTCTTAAGATAGCGTTTCCACGGAAAAGAATGCTTATTTGCTCAAGAGGGAGCCTGCCAATTTCCTCGCCATTCCCAAGAAAATCGGCAAATTTTTCGTTTCGCATTTTGTGCGAATCTCCTCGAGTGCAACGCGGTGCCGCGTCATTTCTTGCGGGGAGAGAAGAAAGGTAAAATGCCGACATTTTTCTCAAGTGTTGTTTATGTTCGCTCGGGTGATGTTCGGTCGGGTAAATTGTCGTGAGATCCACCGACCACTTCGTTTTAGCCTTTCTTTCCCATTCTTCATCCTTCGCTCTTCTATGACGCTAAAGTGAGGAAGCGTCTCGTTTTCCGCTTTCTCCATTAGAGGGCCTCCTTTCCCGAACGGAGAGACCACTTATAGTCCCATCCTTCATCGTGTCTGTGTTTCCTTCATCGTGTCTGTGTTTTCTTCATCGTGTCTGTGCTTCTGTCCGTGTGTCTGTATCACGCTTTCTGTATCGCGCCCGACGATAGGTAAGATATTGATCTGATCGCTGTGAAAAATAGGCGTGCAGGTTGATGGACGAGATGAAGGAGATGAAGGAAGTTGGTTCTTGGACAAATGCTTATCAAATATAGAATCCCATCACATCTGTTGAATGATAAAGTTTCGCTCAGTGATAAGACACAAGCAACCGTCAGTCCTCTACTTGGACCTCGAGGTGCCCGCCTAACTATCAGCCTGGGTTGGTGTGTCAATTCAGTAGTCGAAGGGGTTATTTGCCTTCCAGCCACTTAGCCGAGAAGTGGAACCGGAAATGGTCCTCTCAGTAAACAGTATAACCATACGTACTGAAATTGGGTTCCATATGGTTGATATCATGGCGACTCTTCACCATTCACTACTATGGGATTTTGGCAATTTCTTATCTCAGATTTTTCCTAAATGCTTGCACGATGGAAAGCAGCCACGGCACAGCCAGCATAATCGGTCCTCAGAGGAATCCGTAGGCCACATCGAGTTGTTCAGAGCCTCATCACGCGTATGGATCCAAAAATTTCGTTTGGGCTGATGGCAGCAAAGGGCGACTGGGAATCGGTCGTCCCAAAATGCCGACAATCCTCGAGCAAAGTGAGCCATAGAGTTTGAAACGGGCGTGTGGAGTGCATCCGCAGGTACGCAGGTTCATTAGAGTGGTCGCACAGACTAAGTAGGCATGCCCTGGCAGACGATCGATCGTCTTAATGCCGAAGGCTTCATATGGCCGACTATGCTGATTCGAGGGCGGCGTGACATTCTACCCTTCGTTGGTCCAATAATCCCAGCATAGGCAGGCGTTGAACTCGAGGCCCTCACGGGCAATCGGCACCCACGAAAGAAAGCGGTTCGGGTCAGACGTCATTAAGCCTGAGAAACTCGACCAGGAATAATTCGGATTCCTGTACCATGGCTGCTTTCCATCGTGTTCGCATCGGAAAGAAAACTGGGGGATAAAATGGGAAAATCCCATTTGAGTGAATGGAGATGAGCTGCCACGATAAGGTTTCAGGAAGGTTTCTCGATGCAATAAGCCCATCTCATTACGCTCCGTTACCAATTCTATTTCTTAGTTCATCGGCATTAGATGACGTAGACTTCTAAAGACACTGAACATTGTTGGCATTGTTGGCAAACAGAAGGCCAATGCCAAAAAGAGAAAACAGGGTTGCTAGCTCAATACGACAAATATGATACCTAGACGCTCTGCACGCCGTCTTCCCCCCCCCACTCACAGAAGGCGATGGCCATCGCAAGCGCGTCCAAACGGCAGCTGTTGAAGTAGAAGTCGTTTCGGGAGGGGCAAGATTTTCCCTTGATGAATAATCCCATGTCGACCAGCAGTGTCGTCGTCATCAGAAGGTGTGATATCAGCCAAGGCAAATGCAGGATCTTCATGTTCTGCCGAATCCAGTTCGCCAATAATGCTCATATTGAAACAACGTGAAAAAGTCCTTGAATTCCCGAAGAATTACCTTTTTGACCGCAAGAAGGAGAACGAAGGAATTGAGAGCGTGCCAGATCGTGAGTACTAGTTTTGCGATGGTGATGGCAATGTCGGTCCTAAAGAGAGAAGGATTTATTAATAGTCGATTGCGAAAAAAATGGACATCAGCCCTCAATCGAGAGTGCATTTATGAACTCGGAAACCGAGTCAGGGAGTGATCTCTGAGCCCTCAAATCAGTTTTTCACGTTGATATCCCCAGCAAATTCCTTAGATCCACTCGTGACCCTCCGCGCCAACCGGCTCGCGATGACTCCATGCCGCTCGTGATACTAAGCGCTAGCAGTCCGTCTATGGAGGTCCATGGCAGGCAGCGGAGGTTGCTGCCAGGCGGTTGGAAGGTCAGACGCGGATCCAGGGAATCCGCTCGGGATGAAATGAACGGCGACCGAAAAACTCACGAACCGCGAGGTGTACGGAGGACCCCTCAGCTCGTGGCTCATTTTGCTCAAAGCCACGATCCTGTCGACTTCCAAACTGAGGGCAATCGTGGCGGGGATTGCGAAGACCTGGAACGAATTTCAACGTGCCCACAGCACACATCAACATCCACAAGTAAAACCCCATCGTTGAAAAGCAAACTGAACTCGACGACTCACGAGGCAAAGGGTTGCGACGACGACAGTCCCCTTCCTGGTGGAAATGCATCCGCAAAAAGTCTCCACCCAAGCCATTCTCGGCAACTATTTGTCATCGAAACCGTCTGATTACCAAGAGCAGCTGTGCGAAACTTTTCAGGTTCCCAGAAACTGTAATTTCGGAGAAGTTGGCATTGGAAAGAAAACACGAATACAGTCGACGCTCCATAAAACGAATTTTCTTTATTACGATTTTTTTTTTTCAAGTTCCCGGCCGTTCGCTCATTCACATGCACGTCGAAAAGTTTCTCTATAACGAAGTCTTGCATAACGAATTGTTCGGCTTTGAGAACTCATTTTTTCGTTCGAAGGAACAAAATTGTCTCTTATTACCAATTCGAAATATGCTGCACTTTTCAGAGCCACTTTCTTTCTCGCCTTCTCGCCCTGGAAAATCTCACCTCATGCCTAAATGCAGAATTTCTCACTTATTTGTGTGGCCGTGGGGAGCGACGTCAGTTGGCCTTAATCTTCTCAGGATCTTAATGACAGGCCGAGTCCAAAAAATGTTGCTCCGTCGCGCAATCGAAGCCTTTCGTTCAGGCCTTTTCAAACGTCGACTGCTCCGCCCGAAGAATCCTCCGGGAAGGCTCGCGGCTGGCGACCATCTGGGACTTTGTTCCCCGATGAGTCCACGGTGATCGTGACTCGTTCGATTTTGGTTGCAAAGGACACGCTTCTGTGTGCGCCCATTTATGCGTGAACACACGCTTATTGGTTGTATTTTTGCAATGCGATGCGCGCAACTTCGCTTTTTTTTTCATGGATAGCTGCATCCTTTCATGTTGGCAATAAGTGGCATTTTGCTGAAGAGGCTACTTTTTTTCAGCGAATTGTGGGGAACTCCCTATAAGGAATTTTCCTTTTAACGAAAATTTTCAGCCTCTCCCTTGGAGTTCGTTACATCGAACGTCGACTATATATGGTTTTCCTATATTTCCTTTTCTTCATTTCTTCCCTTTTTATTCAAATTTGAGCCCTAAAATTCCCTAACTCCTAGAAGAATTTAATGTAAAGTTCAAAGTTCGCAACCCCCCCACAGCACCCTTTGCCCCCCCCCCCCCCAGGAGGGGCGAGCCCCCCAGTTTATACCTCACGCTTAGCAGGTATTTTCAGAAATAAATATGTATCGGAACTTTTTTAATGGTCCTCGTATATGGATCTATGTTTGTCTGCTCATTTGACGGAATACTGACTAGGGGGGGGGGGGGGGGGGACGATCGGGTCTCGTGTTCCACTGAGGGCGCTGATTCGGGTTTGAGTCGAGGATCATTGTCGGGGCTGTGGCCTCTCTTTGCACCTCGTTCCTCTTGCGGGATCCATATAGGCTGGGCGGATGACGTATCTTTCGCCAATGTCTTAATATTGCCTTTTGTTGGATTGCTGGCATTGTTTTACTGCTCGTCCCATCGACCTGCCTGAATATTTTTTTAATACGCAGTCTCTGACTCGATGAAATGCTGGCGGATAGGTCCGCGGAAACCGACCGAATCCGCTAGTGATCATACACACTAGAAAGTGTTGTTTTTGAGCTCATCTCAAGGCGCAGATCTCATAACTACTTGGAACATCGTTTTGAGAGGAAAAGTTGAAAAGATTTTCAGATCCATGTGTATCATGATTGTACCAGATGTGCCAGATTTGATAAATTACCACCGTCCATATGCAAGTTATACAGGTTGATGAGTTAATAACACCAATCGAACACGCCGTCGAGCAGGCGTGGGCTCGTTTCGGGCTGAGTTCGTTCCCACTCCTGAGTCAGCCCTCGCTTGCGTCGGTGCTTATCTTCATTTGAGTCTTCATCGGGGCTGTTCCGCTCCGAACTGCTGGAATTCCAGACAGGGATTCAAATTTGACCAATTTTCCCGTGGCAAGGGTCGAAAGCGGTTGAAGATTGCAAATGGCCGCGAGACAAGTGGAATCCTGGTCCATCGGCTAAATTATGCGAGGTTCCATGGCTTTGGGAGGGAATTGACGCAAAAGAAAACATGGCCATCCAGAAGCAGAAATGCCTTTGGAGCAGCTGCAATTCGATGAACGAATCTGTCATTTCTGTTGCGCTTTTCTGAACGGTAATGCCCAGTCAAAAATAATGGTTGGCTTAAGGTTGGGCCATAGTTGCTTTGCCGCACATCGATCCACAGGCCACCCATTGGGTTTTTTCCTGTAAAGGGTACCCTGCACCTGCGACCTACTGACGTGACCATGCACGAGCCGTTGATGGAATGCACAATGTTTTTCACTTGACTTCGACACTTCGTGTCGATCGATAATGACTGACTCAAGTGGAAAACACTATAGACAGGACACGTTATATCTAACTTATGCCGATGGGGAAAATTATGAGCATTCTTCTCATGACTAATTACTACTCTGCAAAATCGGAGTTTCCTGGAAGAATGAAGAAACTCATATCGTACTCAATAACTAAAGAAAATATTGAATCGTCACGGTAAGAGAACATAGGGAAGAGAAGAGCATGCGGTCCCGCTAGGGTTGATTGACTCCTGGAACGACCCTTGACTCATGCTTGCCGTGTCAGCCGCTACTGAGAGTCTCTAGAGAGTCCGGGTGTTTTCAGATACTAGAAGTGCAATGAATTAAAATATAAGCTTATATCACAGAGTAAATATTACAGAGAGGCCATTTATAACCCAAAGTTATCAGATTGGAAAGTGATTTACGTATTCTAGTCCGGCGTCTGGAAGGACCCCTGATCATGACAAACTCTTGCATCAAGCTCATTGGCGAGTCGATCCCCGTGATTACGTCCGGGAAGCGCGCTTCTAAGAGCGCAACAGTTGACCTGCTCTCTATGAACAGAGTTCAAGTGATCTTACCATTCAGATGCCGATTGATCTCATCCCTAATAACTAACTAGTTCTATTGGGAACAGTGGACCTTCCCCTCTCCTTGTCTAACGAGGAGAGGGGTGGATAAATGTCATGAAGTAGAAAGCTAGAGTGGAAAATATGAGTGGGGCTAATTAGTATGTGGCATTGAGTTGGGTTGAGGGTAGATGCATTCGTAAAAGGTTGGCTCATGGGTGGCACAATGCAGTCCATTTGTGGCTAAGGGATGGTCAGAGAAGGGTGGCCCGAAGGTCGACCGACCCAGACTTCCATCCAACCATAGTCAACCATAGCCCCCCCCCATAAGCCAACGATAACCTGCTGATGCCCCGTAGGTGGTGTATGGAAGAGCCACCCTTGAGCCTTGGTTGGCCCAACTATAAATTTTTGGCTGGGTGACGCGGGTTAACTTCAAGTTTAATGAAACGGATCAATAAGATGAGCGGTGATTCAGGAGGGGGTGCCTCTGCTTTTTTTGTTTTCAGCAGTTTATTTTCGTATCAATCATGACTCAAACGAAAAATACCTTTAAAAATCCAACATTTTCTTTTCAATAATATTTGAGGAATTGAATTTTTTCCAGAGGCTTTCGTCCCAGTGACGTAGGTAGGATGAGGGGGGTCTGAATCCCCCAAGTTTAGCTGTTGTCTCCCTACGAAAATGTCTGCCCAGGTTAGAAAAGAGGCAATGAACCCACCCACCATTGTTCCCCCTCCCCCCACCTCCTGTAATTCATCGAAATCCTTGCTACGCCACTGTGTTTCCCAGCTCTAAACTTTTCCAAAACGAACCAATAAGCGTTTTCTTTTGATCACATTCTATTCTTTTTCCTTCCACGACTGTAGGGATCCTCAGCTACTTGTGGGTGGTGGTGGTGAGCAACTATCAGAGTCTGGGGGAGATCAATAAGGAAGACTCAATGCAACTGCTTTATGGGTACGAGGACGTGAAGCGCCCTTACGACTTTTCTCAGGGGAGCCCGATTGACACGACCAAGAGATCCGTGTCTTGAGAAGCTCTCACCATCGCTCCATCACTTGGGTCGTCTCGTAAGACGGCTTCATGGAATTGAAGCCGTCACGTGTTTCAGAAGGAAAAATAGTTGAAAGAAATAGAATTGGCATATGGTTTTTCCTTTCATTATTAAAAATCCTCTAAAATATCCAAGGATATTTTACTTGATTAATTATTCCTCCATTATCAGCTGATCACTGGTTCTTCCTTGTCACCGTGACGTCCTTTCAAACTAAGTTTTATTTAGTTGAAACATCTTAGACTTCTCGGTTATCCTGTTGTGAGATTTGTTTTGTACACGTAAACTTCATGTCCTGTGTCGTTAAGAATAACCATTAGAAACTCGAGAATTGTCGAAAGTATTTAATGTCCTTCCATTCAATTGCACTGCACGAAAGTCGAAAGTTTATGGAATAAAGGTTTTCTCATCTGCATCTTCCCTTTCGCTGTTCCATGAAAATCGCTATATTGAAACAGTTGTCATTGAAACGATCACCTCCGAGGATCAGCTGCATCTTCATCCCGTCGGTCCTTAGATCTTTTCTATGGGATTTTCCTTTTGTACAGGGAGGGCGAAAAAAAGTACCCAATTTCAAAATGCAATTACAGGAGAACCATAAAAGATAGGATAGAATAGTAAAAGGCATTAAGCAGGCAAAATTCAACATTTTTAAATACTAAGTAATCCTTTTTTCTGCTGCAGGTTAAAAATGCTTCGAACAAATTTACAACAAAGAATCTTTATCGCTGAGGTGCATAATCTCATTGAGTAATATTAACGCAGCGTACACTCAGAAAAGAGCTTCTAGGATGTGAGGTGCCAACAGCTAAGACAAGACAACGAATTCTGACCGAATGGGAGGGGAAAAAGTTGAATTGAGATTTGCTATGCGCTTCAACGATAAAGATTATTTGCTGTAAATTTAATTGAGGCGTTTTGAACCTGCAACGGAAAGAAAGATTACTCATAAAACGTTGACTTTTGCTTGCTTAATGCATTTAATTATTCAATCCTATCTTTTATGGTTATCCTGTAATTGCATTTTGAAACTGGGTACATTTTTTGGCACACTCTGTATTTTCTTAATCCTTCAGATCATGCGGAAATTATGGGAAGGACCATTTGGTAGGAAGCCTGAGATTTTACTTGGAGCATTCTGCATTTGCCATGAAGTCTTCCCAGGAATAATTTATTTAGGTCTCTTGTTCCTTCTTGGGATAGTTGAGTGTTTCTTGACATTCAACAAA